TGGCCGCGTACGACAGGCAGATTATGATCACCTCGGCCCAGTTCCAATAGCTGCCAAAATAACTGGAGCCCTGGTTTCGCCAATTCTTAAACTCGCGTACAGTGAAGAAGACAATGAATCCAACGTAAGTCAGTTCGCAGAGTATTATGAATAGTCCGAAGCCCTGGTGGTATCGCATGAGCCGAACCACATCTATGCGATGGTTGGGTATAACACCGCCGCCCGGTTGAAACTCGGCCACCATTGACACGATGCCAAACAGATTGACCTGAGCGTTGTATACCGAGAACTCGGCGAACACCGCACGAGTCCGCCCGTCCAGCCATCGGTCCTCTTTCAGTGATTTGATTTTGTCCGACAGTTCACCCCTCGAGCCCTATGTATGCGTTCAGAGAATTATAAGAATATTCTGTTGTTGTGTAATCAATATTCTATGTGTATAATAATTTTGTCGTATGTTTTGATTTATTCTGTCAGTGCTATCATTCATTTCAATAATCATAACCTCGTATTGTATTGTTATAAATATTCTGTTATTTATATAATATAAAAGTTGGGGTTTTAATGGATTTCAAATGCATGTTAAACAGATTATGATAATTATCCCTATTCTTGGGTCTTAATAATACATAATAACTTACAATTCATTAATAAGGGCTTAAAATAGTAAAGGAGTCGGTTTACTATTGATATTAGACTAAATAATAGATATAATAGTAATTATTACTGAATATGCGTAACAACGAGAACATTAAATCAAAGTATTGAGTTCACGATTTAATTACTATTTAATAAATAGTATTTATATATCATTTATCGGTTAAACTCATTGATTTTGAGACGAAAATAGTCCTTAAACTTCAAACGATAAGATAATTTAATCTCAAATTCTCACTAATAAATACTCGCAATCTTTTCCAATAAACTTTCAAATGAGAAAAAACTACATCTTTTGAAATACGACCGTAAAGTTTGTTATACAAAGAGAGAGACCTTTTGCTCACAAATGTTAATCAATTCGCGTATAAATATATAATAATAGGAGAGAAGAAAAACAAGTCATTTAATCTCAAAAGAGATGATACCTTCAGTGCGATCACAAAACCTCCTCCGCTATAGACGTCAAGTTTGCCTTAAAAAAGAGATAAATAAATAAAAATCACAATTAATTGATGTGTTTATTGTAATGAAATGTTATT